TCCTTCAGAAATTATTCTAATATGCTGATTTGCTGCTCAAGAGACATTTCAAAATTTTTGTGGAAACTGTGATCAGTTTTTTTCCCTTAAGTGTACAAAGGGAACACTCACCTTTTAATGTACAGAAAATGAAGAGAGCAATAATGGCATTGTTCAGCCCACAAGTTGACTTTGCCACACAAGACAGGATGGTGAAGGGGTTTAACAGATAACTGGAAGACAATTAGACAAATGAAATTATGTGCCTTACTTTTAAGGCCGAGTTTCTTTTTTGCAATTAAAAAAAGCGATAGCATAATCTTGATTTAAAGCCTGATCAGAACTTACAACATGGCAACCTTGAGGGGGATGTAGAACATTTCCTTCGGAGAGCGGAGGAGCTCCAAACAGTCGGCGGGATACCGGTCCGATTCCAAGGCATATTTCTGTTTTCTAAACTACAAAGCACACAAAGATGAATGTTAATTTATAAAATATTTAAAAACGTTATAATAATTTGAAAATATAATGAATTAATAGGCTCTAACTTATGAAACATACACAGATATCAACAAAGATATAAGCTATAACTTACCACATTCTTGTTATAAGTCTGAATTGAGAGATAAAGAGCCACCGCTGTGATTCCATCTGCTATCTGGTGACATAACGTTACATGAGTATACTTACATGTGTACAAGAAGTGAAATTTACAAAAACACAAACACACAGTAATAGTTATAAACTATGATATTAATTCACAGCAACCTGGAAAATTGAATAGTAAATCAGATTTGAGGTTGTTGCTACCAATTGCTATTTTTGCACGGTCTAATGATGCAAGCAAACAAGAAAGACAATCAACAAAATAAGGACTCACCATAAAAACAATCTCTGCATAGTCGACCGTAAAATGAAAGAGGTATATCATAAGGGGTGTCTGGAAGAAATAAAAAGAACAATTAAACACATCGGAGAATAGACTTGGGGGAAAAAAAGTCAAATAGAACTTACTTCATGAAACACATCTCCTGAGTAAG